CCCCGTTCTTTTCCTCAGAATCCCCTAGCGCCTTCTCTAGCTCGACTTCTCCCACCTCAAGGCTGACCGCCACCGGCCCCGCCTACTCAGAGTAAAATCATGAAGGTGGTGAACCTGAAGCAAGCCATTTTGCAAGCTTGGAAGGAGCGATGGAGTGACTACCAGTGGGCAATCAACATGAAGAAATTCTTTCCCAAAGGAGCCACCTGGGACATTCTCAACCTAGCAGGTCTCAAGTGAAGTAGGAAGGAAGGATGGGAGGGCTAAACCCAGCATGTTACCACTCAGTCTTCCTTTGTTATTCCCCTTGCAGAAGCACTACTGGAGCAGGCCATGATTGGACCTTCCCCCAATCCTCTCATCCTGTCCTACCTGAAGTATGCCATTAGTTCCCAGGTAAACTCTTCCACCTATGCCAGAGAATGAGGGTTTGAAGGTAAAAGACTTGGAATACAGTTGTCAGCTCACACTTTCTGGGTGAATTTGTTTGAACACATCATTTCTCTGAGCCTCAGTTTTCTTGTGAAAATAATAATACTTTTGATGAATATTACATTAACTTATTCTATCAGTAAATATTCGCAGATGCTTGTATGTGCCAGACGGTGCCATAGGCTCTGGGGATTTAGCTGTGAACAAGGTCTAATCCAAGCACTCAAGGAATATAGTGGGTAATACAATCATGTAAATAAGCAGTCAGTCACAGGATGGGACTATGATATAGGCTCGGACAGAGTACTATGGGAGTACATAGGAGGGATACCTAATCCTGTCTGAGCAACCAGGTAGGAAGTGATATTTAAGACGTGAGTGGGAGTTAACCAGGCAGATTGATGAGCGTGTACAAAGCAGAGAGAAAAGCATATGCAACGGCTGGGAGACAAACATCACATGATGTTTAGGAACTGAAAATAATGTGGTATGGCTAGAGTAGCAGTTTTGGTCTCAGGACATTTTGTATTCTTAAAAATTGAGTCTCCTACAGAGCTTTTGTTTAGATGTATTATATCTATTCATATTTACCACTCTAAAAATGAAAGCTGAGAAATGTAAAAACTATGTAGTTAAAAATAATAAAAGGTAAACCCATTATATATTAATATAAGTAAGATTTTAATGAAAAATAACCATATTTTACAAAACAAACAAAAAAAATTAGTGAGGAAAGTGGCATTGTTTTACATTTTTGCAAGTCTCTTTAACTTTGGCTCAATAGAATACAGCTGAATTCTCGTAGCTGCGTCTGCATTCAGTTGTTGCAGGAGGCTGTTTCAGCTAAAGTATATGAAGGAAATCTGGCCTCACATATCAGGTATTTAGTTTGAAAAGGGAAGAACATTTTAATAAGCCTTTCAGACAAATGTAGATATTCTTTGACATTAAAGTTCAGTAGGTGATGTGAAATCACATCAATGAACTTTTAATACTCTGTTACATTAAAATTCATTGGTCTGTCTCTTGCGCTTTGAATAGATCTTTTACCCATGCCTGATTTTATAAATTGTGAATTGGTCATTTGGTAAATATCCATTACTAAGTTATATAGATATTCTAATTGTTGACACATTTAATTACATAGTTTCATCACATGTCATGGAGCCTCTGGTACATTCCACTGTACAATTGTGAGAGAATAAGAGTAAAAAAGGGGGGCTTCCCTGGTGGTACAGTGGTTAAGAATCCACCTGCCAGTGCAGAGGACACAGGTTCAAGCCCTGGTCCAGGAAGATCCCACATGCCGCAGAGCGACCAAGCCCATGAGCCACAACTACTGAGCCTGCGCTCTAGAGCCCATGAGCCACAACTACTGAGCCCATGTGCCACAACTACTGAAGCTCGCGCGCCTAGAGCCCGTGCTCCGCAACAAGAGAAGCCACCGCAATGAGAAGCCCGCGCGCTGCAATGAAGAATAGCCCCCACTCACTGCAACTAGAGAAAGCCTGAACACAGCTACAAAGACCCAACACAGCCAAAAATAAATAAATAAATAAATTTATATAAAAACACACATACAAAGCATCCCATTGCCTTAAAAAAAAAAGTAAAAAAGGCAAATGACATCTTAGTATTTTACCTCACAGTTTTGACCTCACAGATCCCCAGGGGCTCCTGGACCATATTTTGCTAACTGCTGGGTTAGCACTTCACGGGGGGGAGAATGGTTTAGAGAGAAAGACAGAGGTTAGGTCATAAGTGACCTGTGGGTGATGCTAAGGAGTTTGGACTTTATCTTAGGGTGACGAATAATCATTTAAAGGGTTTTAAGTGGAGGAATAGTGTGATAGGATTTTTATATATATATATACTATTTAATGTGCAATAAAACGTACAGCTCTTAAGATTAATTCATTGAGTTTTAGTAATTGTGTATACCCATGTCACTAACTTCCAAAATAAGATACAGAATGTTTCCATTCTCCCAGAAAGTTTCCTTGTACCCTTTTCTAGACCATCTTTCCTTTTCTAGTCCACTAAATGTTTTCTATCACCATAGATTACTACTGCCTATATTTGGATTTCATAGAAATGGACTCATATAGTATAAACTCTTAATGCTGTCTTTTTTTATTTAACATAAATGTTGTTGAGCTTTATGTTGTGTATGTCAGTAGTTCATTCTTTTTTTAAATATTTATTTATTTATTTTTGGCTGCGTTGGGTCTTCGTTGCTGCATGTAGGCTTTCTTTAGTTGGGGCGAGCGGGAACTACTCTTGGTTGTGGTGTGGTGGCTTCTCTTGTTGCGGAGCATGGGCTCTGGGTGCACGGGCTTCAGTAGTTGTGGCACGTGGGCTCAGTAGTTGTGGCTTGCGGGCTCTAGAGCACAGGCTCAGTAGTTGTGGCGCACAGGCTTAGTTGCTCCACGGCATGTGGGATCTTCCCAGACCAGGGCTCAAACCCGTGTCCTCTGCATTGGCAGGCGGATTCTTAACCACTGTGCCACCAGGGAAGCCCTTCATTCGTTTTTTAAATTGCTGAGTAGGGACTTGCCTGGTGGTCCAGCAGTAAAGAATCTACCTTACAATGCAGGGGACATTGGTTTGATCCCTGGTCAGGGAACTAAGATCCCACAAGCTGCGGGGCAACTAAGCCCGCATGCCACAGCTACTGAGCCTGCGTGCCGCAAACTACAGAGTCCACACTCTCTGGAACCCGCATGCCACAACTACAGAGCCCACGTGCCCTGGAGCCTGTGCGCCACAACTAAAGATAAAACCCGCACGCCGCAACTAGAGAGAAGCCTGCACACCCACAACAAAAGATCTTACATGGGGCTTCCCTGGTGGTGCAGTGGTTGAGAGTCCGCCTGCCAATGCAGGGGACAAGGGTTCGTGCCCCGGTCCGGGAAGATCCCACATGCCGCGGAGCGGCTGGGCCCGTGAGCCATGGCCGCGGGACCCGTGCTCCGCAACGGGAGAGGCCACAACAGTGAGAGGCCCGCATACAGCAAAAAAAAAAAAAAAAGATCTTGCATGCCTCAACAAGGATCCCGTGTGCCGCAACTAATACCCGACGCAGCCAAAAATAAATATAAATAATAAATCTTAAAAAAAAAAAATTGCTGAGTAGTATTCCTCAGCTGGCTCATGGTTCTTAGGCTTCCTTTTTCCTCTTGGCATCAAGTCTGCTTTCTGTGTTGGCACATATTCATTTACCTTGTTCTTTTTTTTAAATAAATTTATTTTTTATTTATTTATTTTTGGCTGCATTGGGTCTTCATTGCTGTGTGCGGGCTTTCTCTAGTTGTGGCGAGTGGGGGCTACTCTTTGTTGTGGTGCACGGGCTTCTCAACTGTGGTGGCTTCTCATTGTGGAGCATGGGCTCTAGGTGCACGGGCTTCAGTAGTTGTGGTGCGCAGGCTCTAGAGCACAGGCTCAGTAGTTGTGGCACATGGGCTTAGTTGCTCTGCGGCATGTGGAATCTTCCTGGACCAGGAATCAAACCCAGTTCCCCTGCATTGGCAGGCAGATTCTTAACCCCTGTGCCACCAGGGAAGTCCCTACCTTTTTCTTTTTCACTGCTGCCCAATGTTCCATATGTAGTGTAATTTAAGTTGTTTTAAATTTTTTACTGTTATAGTCAATGTTTTACTGAACATTCTTGTACTTGCCTCTGCATATCTGGGACTGTTTCCCTAGGATAGATACCTAGAAATGGAATTGCTGATTTGAAGAGTGCACACATATTAAATTATAGTAGATCCTGCAGATTGCCCTCAAAAACAGGATTGTATCAGTTTACACCTGCCCCATAGTGCTTGATAGTATTTCCCCACACCTTTGCCAAGGTTGAATCTTTTAAGGTTATTTTCTAGAGAGGCAAAAAATTACAACATGTTATAAGATGTATTTCCATGATTGTGATATTGAGCATATTTTTTTATATGTTTATTGGCTCTGTGTATATTATGTGAATTACTTATGAATATCATTTGCCCATTTTTCTGTCATTTGTTTGTTTTCTTAAATTTTTTAGTAACAGCTTTATTTGAGATATAAATCACATACCATGCAGTTTACCCATTTAAGGTGTACAATTAACTGGTTTTTAGTATATTTAGAATTGTGCAACCATCACCACAGTCAATTTAGAACATTTTCATCACTCCAAGAATTCTTACTGATTTTTAAGTCTTTTAGTATATTCTGTCTTGTAATCATTGTCTGTTTTTTATGTTTTAAATTTTCTATCACTTTTTTACTTTATCATTTTATTTTTTTAGCATGCAGAATTTTATTTATTTATTTTGGCTGCACAGTGTGCCTTGCAGGATCTTAGTTACCCAACCAGGCATTGAACCCAGGCCTTTGGCAGTGAAAGCGTGGAGTCCTAACCACTGGACTACCAGGGAATTCCCCAGAATTTTATTTTATTATTAATTTTTAAAATATTTATTTATGGGCTTCCCTGGTGGCGCAGTGGTTGAGAGTCCGCCTGCCGATGCAGGGGACACGGGTTCGTGCCCCGGTCTGGGAAGATCCCACGTGCCACGGAGCAGCTGGGCCCGTGAGCCATGGCCGCTGAGCCTGCGCGTCCAGAGCCTGTGCTCCGCAGTGGGAGAGGCCACAGCAGTGAGAGGCCCGCGTACCGCAAAAAAAAAAAAAAAAAAAAAAAAAAATTATTTATTTGGCTGCATCGGGTCTTAGTTACGGCACACAGGATCTTCGTTGTGGGCGTGGACTTCTCTCTAGTTCAGGCTCTCGGGCTCTAGAGCGCACAGCCTTAGTTGCCTCGCGGTATTTGGGATCTGAGTTCCCCGACCAGGGATCGAACCTGTGTCCCCTGCATCGGAAGGCAGGTTCTTGACTATTGGACCACCAGGGAGGTCCCTCCCCAGAATTTTTCTTTTTTTTTTTTTTGCGTTACGCGGACCTCCCACTGCTGTGGCCTCTCCCGT